GTGGTGGGTGGAGGCACTTGGTTGAAGCGGTGGGGTGCGTTGTCAATGTGTATGTGAGTTGGTGTATTTGTATGTGTGTTTGGGGCAAGGGGCTGGAGGTTGTGCATGTTGTGTCGCCATAGATGCAGTGAAACTCTCAACAGCAGGTCGGTGCTCGACATTGCTGGGACGCACATGACGATGGACACCAGGGCTGTGTCCACTCGCCGCCCCCACGGCGCGCACGCCGGCGGTAATGCAGCGCAAACGCTGCCGATGAGGCGATCGCGGAACAGGGCAACGACGACGCGGCACGGGTGCAGGTGACGACAGCGGCCCGCGGGCCGCGCCTCTCACCTCCAAGTTGTCGCCACCCGCACCATCTCATCGATTGTGGCGTAGCTTCCTGTGTACTCGTCTATCAAGTCGTGACGGCCGGCTGCGGTTGACACCTGGCGAGGTGGGGGTTGTGGGTGCGTGCATGTGTGTGCATGTGTTTGTTTCGTGTTGTGTGTTTGTGCGTGTGTTTGTGTGTGCGCATCCGTGCGTGTGTGTGTTCATGCGTGCGTACGTGTGTGCATGTGTGCGTTCGTGCATGCGTGCGTGCGTGCGTGCACGCGCGCGCGCGTGTGTGTGTATGTCTGTGTGTGTGTGTGTGTGTGTGTGTGTGTGTGTGTGTGTGTGTGTGTGTGTGTGTGTGTGTGTGTGTGTGCACGCGCGTGCATGTGTGCGGTGCATGTGTGACCCCAGCTGACGCTTTCACAGAGCAGAAGCACCGCGGCAGCAGCGAAGGGTGGTGTCGCCTGAGCAGCAACAGAAAAGTGAAGAGGCTGTCGGGACCAAAAAGACCCACGTCCTGCAGTGGGGACCAACACATGGGCGCCCGCACACCCACGCACGTTGCGCAGGCGCCCCCGGCCGCCTCCCAGCCCGAGGTGCCTGCGGGGCACGCAGCGACTGCGGCCCCGCGAGGCTCACCGCCGCGCGCGCCATCTTGTCTCGCGCGCGCTGCTCCTCGCGCATCGCGTCGATCGACTCCTGCAGCTTTGGCGTGAGAGGCGCGTTGAACCAGGGGTGCTTCTGGATACCCTGCGATGCCGGGTAGCGGCCGCAGCAGTGGAAGAGGTGGTTTGAATGAATGAAGTAAAATGTGGAGTCAGACGGGTGAAGTGTGTGCCAGTGCGCAATGCAGGGACGCGCCCGACCATGCAGTGGCATTCGCCGCACTGTCCCCCTCTCCGACTCGAGCTCGAGCACACTCATACACTCCGCCTTCCGTGTCCCCTCCCCAGCACGTACGTTCCCTATGCTCGTGCGTGCGACCTCGCAGCCAACCTTCTCCCCTCCTCCCCCCACGCGCGCACACACACACACACATATGCACAGACACCTGTGCACACACTCACACACACATGCACACACACACACACATACGCACACACGCACAGGCACACACACACACCACACACACACACATGCATGCATGCGCATGCACATACACACACGCACACACACACACACAGATACACACAAACACACATGCACACACACAAACCACAGATATACCACCCCACCCTCGCCACCCACGTCGATCGTGATCCTCTCCTCCTCGTTGCCCACGAAAATGCTGTCCAGCAGGTCACGCAGCTCGGGGCTCAGGTCTGCCGCGTGCTTCTCAATGTACGGGTCGCTGCTGGCCCACCCGCCGCGCTCTCCCTTCATAGCGCGGATGCGCTCCAGGGCGGTCGCGCCCTCGTTTCGGAAGGCGCTGGGCTCCAGCCTGGGGGTGGAGCGGAGTGGGCGATGTGTTAAACTCCATGTACGCTCAGTGATTGGGTATCGGCATGAACAGTTCGTTGGTTGCATGTAAAATAGATGGTTTGTTGAGTTGTGGCATTTTCTGTCAGTGCTGCTGTGTAGGTGGTGGGTGGGTGGGTGGATGGGCCGTTGGTGGGCCCAACATTTGTTGGGCTGCCGGGGAAGGCACCAGTAAGAAACAGGGGGCAGGTGGGCTGGGCTCAGAAGAAACGATCAGCACCCTCATGGCATCCTTGACTGGCTGTTGACGACTGGGTGAGAATTTCTGATGCAAACCAAGCCAAACAAGAGTTTTGTGAGTGGGTTGAGTCGTGAAGGCAGGAAGAGGAAGAGGAAGAGAGAAAGGGGAAGGGGTCGGTGTTGGTGGCGGGTAATTTTCAGGGTAATAGCGACGACCCATGGGGCTGCAGCTCCGCACGGCCCCTCTGCTTTGTTGAGTTGAGCAACGCAGCGGGGTGTTGCAGCGGAGGCAGCTGCCGGGCAGCTGCCCGCCGCACCAGAAGGGCGTGTGGCGTCCGAAGAACATGTGGCAGAGCAGAATGCCGCAGGCCCACACGTCGGCCTCCACTGCGCTGTACGTGTTGGTGGGGTAGAAGGCCGACTCAAGCACCTGGGGGTTGAGGCCGAGAGGCAGGCGGCAAGGAGAGGGTCTTGGGGGTGAGCTGGGGCGGAGAGGGTGGTTTGGAGGGCAGGTTGGCGGGGGCTGGAGGGTAGAAAAGGTCGGGAAGAAGGGGTCGAATTGAAGGGGAACAGTGTGGCCGGGGGGGGGGGGCGCAGCACATGAGGGGTCTGCAATAGCGGGTCACGACGGCCTGCGCCCACCCCCCTTTTCGAACGCCATCACGAGAGGGCACCACCGTGTCGCGCAATTCAAGCTGCTCGCCTCTGCCGTCGTTTCGACTCCAGTGCCCGCCCCTGACCAAGCTGAGTCCTTGGTGCCTTGGCACATATCAACGTAGGTGGACCCTCCAAAACCCTGCAACACAAAAGGCAGATGGACCCCCCAAAACCAGCTGCACACCCCGGCTTCGCGGGACGTGCCAGTCCTGGCGCCGGCATCCCGCACCTGGGGAGCCATGTAGGCGGGGGTGCCCGCGAACGTCCTGAACCGCGCCAGCTTGCTGGGGGCCGCCTGCTTCTCCCAGCGGCGCGCGCAGCCAAAGTCCGTGAGCTTCAGGCGCGGCGGGTCCTGACGGGTGTTGGTCGAGGGTGTGTAGAGATTTGGTGGCGGCAGGCACGTCGAAATTCTCGTCGGGAGCGGAGGAACCGATGGAAAAAACAAGCGCCGATATTTGTGGGGGAACAGCGAGCCCTTGGGTTGGCTGCAATGGGATCTGGCATGCTGCAAGCGGGCAGCGCGCCTGGTTGCGGGTCCACGCGTCTCGACACAGATTCTGACCGCATCGCAGCGCCGGTAACGCATGGCAGCGCGTCGGGCTCTGCTTCATGACATTAAAACTTGCAAGCAGTGGCCGGTTGTGGGCCGTTTTAACCCAGATATCATCAACACCGGCTGTTGCGCGTGGCGACATGTGTTGGAGTGTGAGGGTAACCGACAAGATCTGAGATCAGTCGGCTCACGTTGCCTGTGAGCAAGAAGTTTGAAAGCTTCAGATCACGGTGCGCAATGTGGTGGCGGTGGCAGTAGTCCAGCGCGTTTATGATCTGGATGAAGAAGTAGCGCGCGGCCGCCTGTCGCGGAGGGGCGTTTGAATTGGAGGGTGCAGGGGGCGGGGTCGGGGCAGGCGGATGTCGGGTGGACGAGGAGACAGAGAGCCTGGGCAAGGAAGCCCCGTGCGGCCCGCTTGTGACGAAGCCTCCCAGTTGCAAGGAGCAGCCTGGTTCGTCGACTGACTTGGCATAGCCTGCTGCTGCTGCTCCTGCTGCTGCTGCTGCTGCTGCTGCTGCTGCTGCTGCTGCTGCTGCTGCTGCCACCGCCGCCGCCGCCGCCGCTGCTGCCGCCGCCACTGCTGGCGCTGCTGCTGCCAATCGCTCGTGCTAATCCGCTTGCTGCGCAAGATGCACGCACCGCCTGCGCGACGATACCGACCCTTACACCGCAAAGCAAGCATCATCACCTCGTCGATCTTGAACTTGTTGCAAAAAACGTGCAAGTCGCCCCCGGCCTCATATGACATCACTATGCCGAGGTAGCGCGGCGTCAGCACAACCTGCAGATGTCCAAGGTAGCGTGCGGGCCGCTTGTCGCGTTGTGTTGCCGGCACGGGGCTGGGGCCATGGAAAACATGAAATCGCGCCACCTTGTTTCACAGCAAAAGACTGTAAGCTCGAGTTGCCGGCGCTCATACCCCTTGACAAGCATGCTGCTGCAGCTCGACAATGCAACTCCAGCTCAAGTGGCAGTCACAAGGTCGAAATTCTTTCGGATCAGAGCAGAAATCTGATATCAAATCTCACCTGCTTGAGCTCCACGATGTTGACGTGCGACAGCCGGGCCTGCAGCTGGATCTCGCGCCGCACCTTCTCGGGTCCGAGAGCCAGATCATCTCCACGAGCGATCTGGTCGTTGTTGGCACCAAGAGGGGATGCTGCTTGGTGAGGGGGCTGAAGCAGCAGGGAGCTCAGCACAGGGAAAAGCCCGCAAACCGCGCCGGAAGTAGCACACCAGCTGCGACACCCAGTTACCCCGCACCCAACACCAGCCGTGCCGCCGTCCAGACACCATCATCCCCGACGCCGCCGCGCGCCGCCCCCTAAAGCCGCCCCTCGCTTCCGCGTGCGCCGCCTTGCCCGCAGCCGCGGCTGGCGGTGCCATGCGGGCTGCGTGGTGCGGGGCGCCGCGGGCTCGCTCCCTGAGCGCGTCGAGCCGTGCCCACCAGCTTAATGGCGACGCGGGCCCCTGTTTTTTTACTAGTGGCCAGCCACACCTCTCCCTCAACGCCCTCGCCCACGGGCCTGCGAGCGGCCAGCCAAATGGCGGCGGGTTTTGAAACGCAGGCGCCTGACGCACGACCACTTCGGCCGCATTGACCCTCAACCGGGCGGAGGGACGGCGGCACGCTCTTCCCCCCGCGCTGCGTCAGGCATGGCGCCACGAGATCTAGCACGCCGCCATATATAGCAAGGCGGGCGATACATAGGTTGGGCGTCGGCACCCCAGCAAGCAGATCGCGCGGAACACCGCTTGCATGCTGTGCACGGCAACCGGCAAGCGGCGTCGGCAGCATGTGCGTGTGCTGCCCACTTTTCGAGGTCGTAAAGCTCCTCCAAGTCAGCATCCTTCTTCATAAGGGACAAAACGCAGCCCATGGCGTCCAGATACTCCCAGAGGCGCCGGCGCCGGCCACGCCACCGCCTTGCCGGCGCGCTTCGCGCTTCGGCACGCAGACGCCGCGCCTGCCGGACCCGGCCGAAAGGCGCGCTGCAGCCGGTGTAGAGTGTTTGAATCTAGAAGGTTTGGGGTAAAGATTCGACAAGGCGGCACCCGACGCTGCAATCTTGGCCAATGCTGAGACTACGTATGCACCCCGTGATGGCGAAGCTGATGTGTTGGCTCTTGCTAGCTACATTCAAGAGTTGGACTGGACCACATGCACCTGAAAGATTCTGGCACACCAGTGTCACCCACGAAGCTCAAAGTTACGTGATCCAGCGAAGCGTCCCGTGGCAGAGCAAAAGCTTGCAGACTTGTGTAATTATATAAGGCCCGGATTTTTTACCTTTCAAGCTGAGCAAGCAGCAGTCAAGCATACCGTAGTGGACGACGCCCCGCTCGTCGCGTCGCGAACTCGCGATGTTCGCGCGGCACCGTTCGTGCGCGCCGCTGTCACAGCAGTCGAGGCTCAAGATCCCGATGCTGGACGGCATAAGTAGAAACATCATTTTTGTTGCGTATGTCACATGGGGTGGCTGCGAAGAACTGCTCGGCGCGGCATCCGCTTTTGTGACCCCAGCTGCTCGTGCCAAGCCGCTGCAACCGTGCACTGCGCGAGCCGCCTCACGCAGGTGCCCCTCATAACCTCCAGACCCCAACGCCGTCCTTGCGGGTGCGAACAGCCGCAGGTTGCTTGGTCCTGCGCACAGCAAGCGGGTTTGTCACTCACAGCCTCCAGAAGCCCCTGGTTTGGCCCTGATAGGCCGACAGCGTCCAGTCTCGTCCAGGTGTGCAACCCCCCCCCCTTGCATCTGTCACATCCAATGCTCCTGATTATGAGTTTCAAACCCCAAGGATCCCGAGCCGCGCGCTGCTCGTGCACTCGGCCGCTTGGGGTTGCCAGCGGGCTGCCGCGCGGCTGCCCTGCAGCTGCCGCGCTGGCTGCCCGGTCAGCGCAACTTCTAACAGCCTGCCAAGAACGCAGCAAAATGCAACCAAATGTGGGCTCAAACGTACGTTTTGCATCGGGGCACAGCTAGCGGGGGCACGCGAGGGGTATGTTCTTTTGCAGTTGGCACTCGCTGTGGGGCTTGCCAGAACGGCGCCATCGATAGGGCCGTCCACGCCCGTCAGCTTCCCTCCCTGCCGTTTTGTCTTTTGGGCCAATGCACGCACTGTTGATATACCTGGAAAAAGCGGGCCTGCTGGACAAACTCCCAACGGGATCCAGGTCTGAGGCACACCTCTTAGGATGGGTTGCATCTGTATGTCAATGATCTACAACATGAAGTTTGCTCTGCTAGCAGGCCGGCCAACCCCAACGTCCGTGTGCCTGAACTGAAAAAGGGGCTTTCAAACAGGCCAATTCACATCAAATGGATTGGCTTGAGCAGAATTAGCGCCCTGCAGGCAGGTCGAGGCGGGGATTAGTAGTGGTGACACCCACCGGTGCGGTTGGGAGCTGCCTGGAGCTGCATGCTGCCGCCTGGCTGCCGCGAGGCCGTTTTGCGCCACCTGATTGCAAGCCCATGGGGGCTGCCCATTCTCCGCGGCTGTGCTTATGCATGGACACATGCACACCCCAAAGCAACGCCTGCGCGACCGCCAGTGAGCTGGGCCGGTTCGCATGAGTCATGCACGGACAGCTTACGCTTGGCTGCCGGACCACCGCTGAGGCTGCCCTCACCACCCACCGCAGGCTGCCGCGGGTGGCAGCTGCTTCGACTGGTTCCTCTCTGCCCAGCAGGCCTTTTGCATACCGTTGTTCAGCTGTAGTCATGTCCTCCGCAAATCCCCAAGCTGCTACAGACTGCTTGCTGCCCGGCTGCTGTGGAAGCCGCCATCGCAGCTTCCGCTGTGCTCATCACCGCCATCCAGCAGGCCCCAGGCCGCTGAGCAGGTGCAGTGCAGTCTGGCTCTCTGCTTGCGCCATGCTGACACTGTGTTTCTCCCCCACCTCATGATGCATGCAGATCCTGGGCACCAAAACTGCTTCGCGATCGACCTCCTCTGCCAATTATTCAGCAAAGTATCATACGGCAGGTTTGGCGCTGAGCCTGGCCCAACGCCACGTCAGCCCCGTGCTGATGTCAGCGGGGCTGGTCGCCGACTACGGCCAGGGTGACTGGTCGGAGGACCGTCTGGTGACGGCGCTGCGGAAAGGTGTGCAGCAGGCCGTCACCCACCCCCTGCTGCTGCAGGCTTCCAGCCGGGTCGCCGGCGTCCGCGGACAAACGCGCCGTGTCAACTTGCTGGATCGACTGAACGATGCAGGGCTGATGGGGGCCCTCGTGTGCCCCCTGCTCGGCCTGGAGCTGCTGAGTGGTGGCAGACCGCGCAGCCCGTTGGTGGGGCCGGGGCTGCCGCGCGCGAGGCGCAGTGCAGGCCCGGGGTAGCTTCAAACTCGTCGCGTCACACTCACCCTGCCCCTCCGCGCCGTGCACGAGCTTTTGATTACGGTTGGGTGCGAGGGCGAACAGCAGACTGGTTGGCTCGGCCCGCGAGCATCCGCGTCGCGCTGGTTGCAGTGGGTGGCGGAGGGCGTCGGTGGCGGCTGTCTGGGCCTAAAGGCACCACGGCCACTACCAGCACAACAATCCTTGAACCCTGAACTGCTCACAGCACCTGTTTGATCTGTCTCCCATATGCAGCCTGCAACCAAGCTGCCTTGCCAGCCCCTGTCCCCTCGGCTGGCCTTCTTTACCCTGATTGCCTGCCACGCCCTGGACCCTCAGCGGCCATCCGGCAAACGCTTCGCCACCCTCCCACGCGACAGCCAGAACCTTGTCCCACCGCAATGCCCGGTCACCCCATGCGATGCCGCTGTGCAAAAGCTCTGGGGGCCGGTAGTTGCAAGCCGTTTGAAGAACAATGAACACTACCTGCTCGAAAGAATTCTGAACACCTCCAATTGGAGCTTCAAGTTTGATCGCCCTTGAAACACATCACCCAAGACCCGTCCCGCCTGCGCGGGTGGTGCATCAGTACACCTCCGCCGCCGCGAGGGTTAGCAGCGCCGTCCACCCCGTGAACGGGTGGCTGCTGATCCCGTCACCGGTGACGTCATCGTACTGCTCCCAGAGGTAGCTGGTCGAGTAGTACTGCCCCAGCAGGTTGCCCAGCAGCGCGGTACGCAGGCGGCGGTACGCGTCGGCCGCCTTGTCAGCGTGGGGCCCAGGGGTGGTGGAGTAGTGGTGCAGGGCCCTGAGCGCGAGGTAGTTGATGTTGATCCAGATCTGGCCGCGCCAGTACGGGGGGTCGTGCTCTGTGTTGCGCCTGCGGTTCGAAGGGGTTCAGGGCGTGCGGGCGGGCGCGTCGTTTCTGGCGCGTCGAAGGGATGCGGTGGGCTTTGGAGGGGGGTGGTGTCAGGGGACCCCAGTTCACGCAGCTACGGCCGACGAACGGTGGCCGCCCTCCCGTGCGAGGGGCGGCCCCACTGCAGACCGCGCCGCGGCGCCGGGGCGGCCAGACCGGCCCCAGCACGTTCCCCTCTTCGGCCTTCAGAGAGTGGCAGTGTGCGGGTGCACAACAGCTCGTTCAACAGGCTTAGGGGTTCAGCCATCAACCTCGCTTTTGGCTGCCGAACCCACATCTCCTGCGGCGCCGCGCCCCCGGCCCCGCCCGCCTCACTTCTTATATATACTGCTGCTCCTCGCCAGGGACCTCAGCCCCTGGTCCGTCCACGTCAGATCCTCGTTCAATATCAGGTCGAGGGTGCGGCCGAGCTCAGGGCAGTCCGGCGGCAGCAGGGCGGCCAAAAACGGGAAGAGGGAGACGTAGCCGAAGGCGGGCACGAGCTGCCGGGTGGGGGGGTCCACGACGACGCGCTTGAAGACGGCCTGGGGGGCGACGGAGGGTTTTGAGGGTCGGCGGCGGTGGCGGGTCCGTGGCGGTCGCGTGTTGGTTGGGCATGGGGCAGGATGGGCGAGGGCTGCTGCCAGCGCCCATCTCTGCAGAGAAATGTATTATGCATGCTGTCTAGTGGCTGGCCTGGCCAACTGCAGTCATCAGCAAACAAGACTCTCCACCAACCCGTGCACATTTGCACTTGCAATCCAGCACAGCTGCATCACCAATCGCATGACCCAAAATCATGCACAAAGCACACCCATCCAGCCAGCCACACGCCCACTCACTCGCACACACGCCTGCTCTCACACGCACTATCTC